CTAAATAAGGAACGAGGCCCCTTTCTCCCATAAGCCAAACCTCGATGCCCCTATCGAAACAGAAGGAACCCCCGAGGCAAGCCGTGAAACCATTGAGGAGCACGGAGCCCCTCCCCAACGAAAAGGGCTCCTTCTCCAGGGCCCCGCCATGATAGCCGACCCCCCCCCTGGTCATCACCCCCCCCCTCTCGGGGATCTTCTAACCCGGGTCAATCCAGACCCGGGTCAGCAGGAAACCAAAAACTGCAATGCAGGAAAACAAAAACTGCACCGCAGGTCTTCGCAAACCCGGGTCAGTCAATACGCGCGGCCGCCTCGCGGCCACGAGCGGCTCCCTAACCCGGGTCAGCCAGAGGGGGTCTTCGCAGGATCCTGCAGGATCTGGCGCCCTGGCTGACCCCCGTTTGCATTGACCCCCGTCTCGAGGCTCCCGACCCTCTTTTCCCGCCCCCGACTCCGGGCGCCCAGCAGGCTCTCCCGAGGCTCCTGGGCCTCTCGCTGTGCCGAGCCCCCCGGGGGGCGCAGCCCGCGGGCCCGCCCGCGGCCCGTCCGCCCCAACTCCTCCCTCCTCCTCCTCCTCCTCCTCCCCTCCTCCTCCTCCTCCTCCTCCTCCTCCTCCTCCTCCTCCTCCTCCTCCTCCTCCCCTCCTCCTCCTCCTCCTCCGCCTCCCTCCTCCTCCTCCTCCTCCTCCTCCTCCTCCTCCTCCTCCTCCTTCTCCTCTCCTCCCTCCTCCTCCTCCTCCTCTCTTCCTCCTCCTCCTCCTCCTCTCCTCCTCCTCCTCTCCTGCTCCTCCCTCCTCCTCCTCCTCCTCCTCCTCCTCCTCCTCCTCCTCGCCCTCGCCCCTCCGAGATGCCCCCGAGGCCGCCGCCCGCGCGCCCATCCTCGGCCCCCGGCCGCGCGGGGGGCCCCGCGCAGGGGGCGGGGGCGGAGAGGCCCCGCCCCGGGCAGGACGCGCCCGCGGGCAGCAGCAGAGAGCTCTCCCGCAGTAGCGCACTGCCGGAGGCGGCGGGCGGGAGCTGCTGCGGCGCCTCCCGCGGCTCGAGAGGAGGAGGAGGTAGGAAGAGATAGGAGGAGGTAGGAGGAGGAGGAGGAGGAGGAGGAGGAGGAGGAGGAGGAGGAGGAGGAGGAGGAGGTAGGAGGAGGAGGAGGAGGAGGAGGAGGAGGAGGAGGAGGAGGAGGAGGAGGAGGAGGTAGGAGGAGGAGGAGGAGGAGGAGGAGGAGGAGGAGGAGGAGGAGGCAATGCGTCCGCAGCTGGAGAAGCAGCAGCTGGCGACGCGGAGATCGAAGCCAGCGCAGCTCCCGAGGAAGAGGGCGCTGAGGAAGAGGCCTCAGAATAATAGCGGCAGGTGCTGCTCCAGGAGACGAAGGCGCTGGCGCAGAAGCCGCAGCGGCAGCCTCCAACGGCGACAACACTCCGCCACCGACGCCATCAGCGGCGGAGTCTTGCTGCGCTGGAATCCTGGCCACAGCCTCGCGTCGAGAAGCAATCGCTGCTCTCCCCGGCGCACCTGAGCCCGAACTGGAAGCGACTGCTCTGGCAGCGCCGCTGCCGCTATATTCTGACCGCTTCTATCGACAACGAGCGTCATCAAAGTGGCGAGGATGATCCGGATGCGCACCTGCAACGCATCCAGGACAATCTGCGCCAGTAAACTGCGCGAGAAGATGCCGACAGCCGGCGTCGCGAGCACGCCTGGGATCTCGCTGCGAGGCTCTTCCAACACCCACGAGGCACGCGGCCCAAGAGAGCGTCGGAAAGGCCGAGATGTCAGACCTAGGCCCAGCAGCTCTGCGCCGACGATCTTCGGCCCGCTCGCATCCAAGAACTGAAGTCCCCATTCCGGTCAGCCACTTCCCCGCCAAGGACTCCGCATTGTCAGAGCAACGCGCCTGCCGATCGACATTGGTCGAACACAGACGCGGAGAAACGCCATCGCGCACCAAGAGGCGCGACAGTGGCCAGTGCGAAACTGCGCCAAGGCAGTGACGAATCCTTCCAGCATCGCGCTCGTCAGCGGAGAGCTTCATCCAGTGAGCTCTCGGCGGCGTCGATCTCCATCGCTCACGAAATCACATCCGCAATCCCGTCGGCTATCGGCGACGCCATGCGCCAGGGCCACACGTGCAGCCCACAGGCGGCCCGGCGACCGTCGGCGCGAGCATGCTGACGGCATATGCTCGATGGCCATCAGCTCTGTGGCCTTCTTGACTGGCAGCCGAGACTTCTCCTCAACAGAACCAGCTTGACACTGATGGATTGATGCAGAGACCACTCGGGGATCAGCTCTCAGCAACAACCAACCTTCGAGATCGAAAACATCCGAACCCAGAGGCTGCTCACTCAGGAAGTCGCTGCCAACGTCGAGACGATGCTCGGCAAACTCTTCACCACAAGCTCCCAAGTGCGAGTATTCAACACTCTGTTGGGATGGCGCCACCCTTCCTTTCATGCCAGTGCCGAGCGTGGAGATTACAATCGCAACCAGATTGCAGTGCAACGCCGATTGCCAAGTCCACTGAAAATCGAAACACATACTGAAATCAACTCACACCCGAAGTAACTTGCTGGTCCACGCCGGGAACCCTCTCGATGTAGTCTGCGCACAAGAACCTGGGTTGTGCGCTCCAACCTTCCACGCATATCCATCACGTCAACGTAATTGAATGGGGCCCCAGGACACACAAATAAATACACACAAATAAAATGATTCCCCATATTTTCCCATATTTTCTGGGTTTTTGTCTTCCCGCCCAATTCCCATATTTTCCCATATTTTCCAAGGGATCGACGATTAATTGTGTCTGTGTGTTTTTTCTCCTCCTGAGTAATACTGATTATCAGAAGGAATACCCCAGTCCAAGTGTATCGCCTCTGGAACCCCGCAAGAATGCGCGGCTCTCCACAGTCCACCAATCTCCACGGCTGATGTTCTGAATCAGCACCTTGAAGACAGGAAAGGGAGCTCCACCTAAGGTCCCAGTGGCGCAGTCTGCATGGCGGCGCCGCCCTATCTGTGCACAGCCCTCACACGTTTCGCGGCCCCACAGGGAGCTCCACACGTTGTGGCCCCATAAAGGCTTGGGGGCTCCAAACCACCTGAGACGCCCCCACGATCTGGGTACGAATCCTGGAGTGATCCCACCCCTGGCGGCTCCCCCATTAGCAGTACAAAAACCAGCGCCTCGCCTCAGACCTCCTCCCAATCTGCTTCGAAAACAAAGGATGTGGAGCACCCAAAACGGCAAACCGCCCGAGACAGTCCAACAGTGTGGGCGCGACACCTGGAGTGTCCCCGCCCTGGCGGCTCCCTCCTGGGAGTGCTGAAGCCAGCGCCTCGCCGGGATCACCCTCACAAACTACTCCAGATTTCGTAATAAAGGGAGGGGGGTCTCATTTCGGGGGGGGTCTCTTCCAGGCTATCTTGGAGGGCCTGGGGTGGTCTGGGGACAATGTTTTGGAGGGTTCTCCCACGGGGGAGGTCTGAAATGGCTTGTCTTGGAGGGTCCAGACCCCCTCCCTTCTATTACGAAATCTGGAGTACTCCAACAGCCGAGGATGTTGGGCACCCGAGCGCGCAAACCGCCCGAGACATCCCCAGAATCTGGGCTCGGCTCCGGGAGTGTCCCCACCCCTGACGGTTCCACCGTTGGGTGCCTAAAACTGCCGCGCCTACTACACCGCGGTGAGCAGTGGCCCAAGAGAGCCCGAGTATGAGTGAGTCTGAGCATGCCTGGGGCAAAGTGCGAGCGGGCCTGAGCGAGTCCGAGCGTGAGCGAATGTGAGTATGAGTGAGTCCGAGTGTACGTGGGTCTGCGTACAAGCGCGACTGAGCGTGAGTGGGGGTCCGAGCGGACGTGCGAGTCCGAGCACGCGCGAGCGAGCACGAGAAAGCGGAGGAGGGCTTGAGGTGCGAGGGAGGAGGTCCAGCGGCGCCCGCGTCGTAACAAGAACCCCCCATCGTAGGATACAGGGGGGAAAACAGACACGCACACAGACACAGACACAGTCCCGCAGGAAGGCACCTGCGCGGGTGCAGCGGGTGGGCGCCGGGGCGCGCCGATGTTGGCCTCTCGGACTCTGGAGTCGACTTTGGGCAACCGCAGTCGGAAGAATGGGATCGATCTTCTGGCACCAATCGATTCAGACAACCGGCCAAGCGGACAGACCGGCCAGCCGCCCACGCCGATGTTGGCCTCTCAGGCTCTGGAGTCGACTTTGGGCAACCGCAGTCGGAAGAATGGGATCGAACTTCTGAGGGGGGAAATCGGGGATGGACAGACCTCCCTTTAGTAAAACGTGGTTTAGTGAAAACGACCTCGGGCCCAAACCTGGCGGGCGCAAGCCTAGAAAATAACGGCCGCGGCGCCCTCTCGAGAACCGAAAACGGACAATTCACTAATCGACGTGTCACTATTGGGGGTTCTGTCCACCCCCGAGGAAAACAACTGGCACCAATCGATTCAGACCACCGGCCAAGCGGACAGACCGGCCAGCCGCCCACGCGCCGCAGCGCGGGCAATCAGCAGGGGGCGGCGCAGCCGAGGGGGGTGCCCTTCTCGGGGGACATGCTCGACAGGGGAGACCGACGAGGAGAACGAGGGTACGCGACTGCAAACGGGCGTTTAGTCAACGACTGTGGAAGGTTGGGGTTCCAAAGCTGGGCGAGGGCTGCTAAAACCGTGGCTGCTAAGACGGCCCTCCCGGAAGGAAAAAACAACTTCCCGGAATGAGGCGCGGCACGCGAAACAGTCAACGGGCTTCTTCCAGGAAGGACGAAGACAACTTCCTGGAGGTCGATTTTAGCAGCCACGGATTTAGCAGCCCTTGCCCGGCTTCCGACAGGTATTGTGTGTCCTGAGAAAGGGGTGTGCACATCACATTCCTGCCTCACCCCCCGACTGCCTGCTGACCCGAGATTAACACGGGCAGGGCGATCGTGGAAGGATGTGGCTTGAACGGGACTGTCAGGAGGCAAGGCAAGGCTGGCCCGAAGTCCTGCCTTCAGGAAGGTGGTGTCTATGAGCTGCTTGGACGACGTAATCGTCATGCGCAGCTTCCTCGGGCCGAAGGAGAGCCAAATCCCTCACGTAGTCTGCGGAAGCAGAGCCCTCCACCTACAAGGACAGTTGCGGCTTGAGCGGCTGCCAGGGGAAACCTGCGCACTGTCTTCTGGACAAGGCCGTCGCTACGCACAACGACACGGGCCAACCAGGGCCAACCAGCGCGCGGAGGCGCAATTCAGCTTGGCTCGCACCCTCGAAATGGCACAGGGCCCTGCGATGTCTGGCATTTCGGCTGACCATCCCGCTTCAAGCTCACATGTTCACGTTCCATACTCCGACACCGCACGGTGCAAAGCACGACCAACCGGTCGGAAGAAGAGAGTAGAGACATAAAGCGTCAAGGCGTTGAAAATTCGCCGACGCTGACGGCGTGTGTGAGGGCCTTGTCCGTTCGAGTCGTCGCCTCCGTCATTCGTTGGTCGTCGTCGTCTCCGTCGTCCCCCATTTGCCCTGCGGCCCACCATTCCCCCTGGGCACGTCGCCGCTCCCTCCCTTTCCTGGGCCCTCCTCCAGGGGCTCCATTTTCCTGGGACCTCCTCCTTCTCCAGGACCGCTCCCTCCCTTTTCCTGGGTCATCCTCCTCCTCCTCCTCCTCCTCCTCCTCCTCCTCCTCCTCCTCCTCCTCCTCAAGCGAAATTGATCAACGTCGTAATTCAGTCGAAGGGGAGCGCCCCTTCCCGAGAGGGGTCCCTGGGGGGGTCCTGGGACGCGGGTCCCGCGAGGGGTCCTTGTGAGGGTCTCGGGGGGGGATCCCGGGGGGGAGTCGCCACCCAGATACAGCTTCCAGATACGACTCCCCCTGGGGTGGTCCCAGGTCACGAAAAAAGCCCCCAGGATAGACCAAGAGTGCCCGAAGAGGCCCACAAGACGGTCCACGAGGGCCCCGAATCACGAACGATCACTCCAAGACGCCTTGACGGCAACCAGACCGCCCATGATGCCTGCAAGACGCCCCAAGAGGGCTCCAGGAGCACTGCAAAAGGCCCCAAGAGGCACAATTCATTCATGTCCCTGAGGTTGTTGAAAGATTGTGGCGTTCTCTCTTGTTTCGCTTCCCGACGCTCCAAGACGGCCCGCGGGGCCCCCAAGATCGCTCCACGACTGCCCAAAGTCCTCCAAGATGGTCCCAAAATGGCCCAAGAGGGCCCCAAGACGGCACGAGACGCCTCCAAGACAGGCCAAGAGGCACCCAAGACGGCTCCAAGATGGTGCCCAGACGGGGGACCCGAACGGACATCTCAAGCCGTCGCCCCCGAGAAGCCCCAAGGAAGCCCCTGGAGGCCCCCAAGAGGCTCCCAATAGGCCCCCAAGAGACTCCCGAACCGCCCCCGAAACGGGCAACGAGCCCCCATCCTTCTTTTTCTTTTTCTCCGCCTCCTCTCCCCCCCTGGAGCCCCCATCCTTCTCCTCCTCCCCTCCTCCTCCTCCTCCTCCTCCCCTCCTCCTCCTCCTCCTCCTCTCCTCCTCCTCTTCCTCCTCATGTTCCTCCGCCTCGTCTCCATCGTCCTCCACCTGCGAATTGCCCTCCACAACCTCCTCCTGCCCCAACTCCCTCTCCTCATCCTCCTCCGCATGATCTTTCTCCTCCTCCTCCTCCTCCACCTTCATCTACACCTACACCTCATCCTCCTCCTCCTCCGCCTCCTCCTCCTTCTCCTACTCATACTCCTACGACCACTACCACTACAACCACGACTACCACTACTACCACTACTCCTACTACTACTACTACTCCTACTACTTCTACTACTACCACCACTACTACTACTACTACTACTACTACTACTACTACTACTACTACTACTACTACTACTACTAGACTACTACTACTACTACTACTACTACTACTACTACTACTACTACTACTACTACTACTACTACTACTACTACTACTACTACTACTACTACGACGACTACGACTACGACTACCGACTACGACTACGACTACGACTACTAATAATAAGACAAATAATACGAGTACTACTACAGCTACGACCACGACTACTACTACTACTACTACTACTACTACTACTACTACTACTACTACTAGTACTCGTACTATTACTTCTTCTACTGCTACTACCACTACTACTACTACTACTAGTAGTAGTTAGTATACTATATACTTAGACGGACGACGGACTACTACTACGACTACCATCTCCTACTGAACAATTACTACCACTACTACTATACTACTACTACTACTACTACTACTACACTACAAGTACGACTACTACGACTACTACGTCTACTACGTCTCTACTCTCCTACGACTACTACGACTACTACGATACTGCAACAACTACTACTACTACTACTACTACTACTACTACTACTACTACTACTACCACTACCACTACTACTACTACTACTACTACTACTACTACTACTACTACTACGACTACTACTACTACTACTACTACTACTACTACTACTACTACTACTACTACTACTACTACTACTAGTTACTACTACTACTACTACTACTACTACTACTACTACTACTACTACTACTACTACTACTACTACTACTACTGCTCCTCCCTATGCGCGACCATCCATCTTCGCATCCTCCTCCTTCTCCTCCTCCCTGTCCTCGTCCTCGTCCTCCTCCTACTCCTACTCCTCCTCATCTTCCTCCTGCCCCTCCTCCGCATCCTCATCATTACCCTGCTCCTCCGACTCCCATTCTCCTCGTCTTCCTACTGCTCATTTCCCCCCCCCATCCTCCCCTTCTCCCTGCTCCCCCCCCTCCTCATCCTCCTCCGCAGCCTGTGCCTCCTCCTCCTCATCATCCTCGTCCTCCTCATCCTCCTCCTGTTCCTCCTCATCCTCGTCCTCCTCATCCTCCTCCTCCTGCTGCTCCACAGCGTCCTCCACCGCGTCCTCCACCACCTCCTCCTCCTCCTCCTCCTCCTCCTCCTCCTCCTCCTCCTCCTCCTCCTCCTCCCCGTTATCCTCCTCCTCGTCCTCGTCGTCGTCGTCTTCAGGATCGGGGGCACTGGCCGTGAGGCCTTCACCACAAATTGGGTTTCCGCCAGCCCCCCAACAGGGAGGGAAAAAGAGAAGCCGCTCGACGAATGGAGCAGGAAGGCGCCTGAAGCAGACTGGAACCGGGGAATCCCCCAAAATATCAGTTGAACGACGGGTGGGCACCCGAACTGACCACCCGCCGGGGCACGGAGGCGCCATCGCGTCCGCAGCTGGGGCCGGCCGCCCGGTCGCGACCCTCCTCCCTCGCGAACCCCAGCCCCCGCCCCCAGCTCCCGCTTCCCTCGCTCCTCCTCCCTCCCCTCCTTCCCTCCCCTGCATGCCTCCTCCCTCCGTCGTGCCTCCATCCCCATCCCTCCGTCGTCCCTCCTCCCACACCCGCCCTCCCATCTCCCGGGCGCCCCCGCCCCTTGTCTCCTGTCCCCCATTCCCTCCTCACCACCCCACTCTCGCCGACCTCCTCGCCGGCATGAGATGGGAGCCGCTGCAGCGCCGGCGCGAACGCCTGCTGGTACTCAACGCTGCCAACAGCAGCTGCCCTATTCGGGCGTTGGCGGGACTGGGTTTAGTAACCCAATTCAGCGACGTGTACCAAGAGACGCCCCCGCCGTCCCACTCAACTACTAAGAAATACTGTCACCCGAAGAAGTACCAACTACGGCAGACTCGGCTTAGTGAGTCTGGTTGATTTATGTGCTTCGTGGCCCAATCACTAACCGGCTCCCCTTACCCAGGGTTCTGGCTATGTCCGACCTGTCATTGGGCCAAGCTGGCAAGAGAAGTCGGAGGCCTATCCATGCGCCTCTTGATGTCTGCAGAGCTGCAGCTCCCTCATGCCGCCAAGATCAATGGATACGTAGGACGCTGCAAGGAGGAGCCACAACCTTTTGTTGTGGTTCCTGTCCCCTTCTGATTTCTGTGTTTGAGGGGGGCTCTTCATTTTGTGTTGTGGGATTGGTCTTGAAGACCCTTGCGCACCCCAGTAGCTCAGCCACCTCGGAAATCTCAAACGCGACCTCGATTTCCTAGTCGCTGGCTCCCATAGAATTCAACCCCTTCCCTGGGGCTCTCCTCCTCCTCCTCCTCCTCCTCCTCCTCCTCCTCCTCCTCCTCCTCCTCCTCCCCCACTCGACTCATTGTCTTGCCCTCTCTCCTCCCCTCCCTGGGCCCCTCTTCTGAGCCTCCTCTGTTCTTGCATCCATGGCAGGGGGGGAGGGGATCCCAGGAAACACGAGAACGAGGCCCCCTCCTCGTCCGCAGCCGCATCGTCCAAAACCCCGCTGTCCTGGGCGGGCCCGGCTCAGGACGGCGCACCTTGAAGAAGACCTTCTCGCCCTCCTGGCAGGGAAGGTGATTTCAGTTCCGGCGGCGAGCGAGGGGGGGAAGTGACAGGGAGCAGGCCTTCTCAGAAGGCGGCGGGGCTTCTCCAAAGGCCTCCGGCCTTCTGAAAGGTTTTTGTTGTGCCTTCGGGGGAGGCTTGGGAAACATCGCCGAAGGCCGAGGGGCTCCCGAGCCTTCTGCGAAGGCCCTTTCCTTCTCACTTCCCCCCCGGGCTCGCCACCGACTTTAATTTGAATTACGCCCGAAATAAGTACGGAAAGAATGGGTACAATGCCCAACAACAAATGTTGTCCCAAACCAACAGCGGCCGCTGTTGGGCAGGCGGCCTTCTGTCTCGAACGGACACAGGCCGCGGCGGCGCGGACAGCGAATCCTGTTCAAAATGAACAGGAACTGCTGTTGGACATCGTACCCATTCTTTCCGTACCCATTTCGGGCGCCCAGAAGCTCGGGTAAGGCACGCACCCCTACCCCAACCGGCGGATTGGCCCGGGGCAGGCTGCTGGGAGACCAGAGGTCGCAAGAGAGAGGGCGGGGAGAAGGAGGCGGAGGGAGAGAAGAGGGAAGCGCCACCGGAAACTGCTTTGTGGCTTGGAACCCCTGCAACCGGACGCAGGGGAGAGGTTTAGGTCGGGCGTGTCCCCCTACGGAGGGATTGTGGACGAGCAGGTAGAAAAAATCAACACAAATAATAGTATTAATAATTGAAATAGCTAAATTATGTAATGAACCATGAGTAGTTGAATCATTAGTAATGAAAACACTAATAACTAAGAATTGTTAAATCATTGAACTATAATTGAAACAATCATCGAAAAATCATCCCCAGACTATTTTTTACTACTATTGTATATTCTTGGGCGCCCGAGTAATCCGGGGTAACTCGGGTCCGGGGTAAATCGGGTTTGGATTCCCGAAAAACGAACCCGAGTTAGCCCTGACCCGAGCTACCCCTGATGATTCGGGGCTCTGGACGCCCGAGTTATCCGGGGTAACTCGGGTCCGGGGTAACTCGGGTTCGGACTCCCGAAAAACGAACCCGAGTTAGCCCTGACCCGAGCTACCCCTGATGATTCGGGGCTCTGAGATTCGTCCTGTAGAGGGACAGGCCCGACTTGGGACAGGTGCGCACCAAAACACGGCCGCCGGCGACTCCAGCTGGCCCGCTCTTCTGCGGCGCGCGCCCGTGCCCGGACCCGGACGGTCCTCCTCCTCCTCCTCCTCCTCCTCATCCTCCTCCTCCTCCTCCTCCTCCTCTCCCCTCCTTTCCTCCTCCCTACCTCTCCTCCTTCTCCTCCTCCTCCTCCTCCTCCTCTTCCTCCTCCTCCTCCTCCTACTCCTCCTCCTCCTCCTCCTCCTCCTCCTCCTCCCCTACCTTCTCCTCCTTCTCCTCCTCCTCCTCCTCCTCCTCCTACTCCTCCCCTCCTGCCGCCTACTGAGGGTTGTGAGGTACTCATGGGCCGTCGGAGTCCCCATGACGGAAGCCCGAGCGCCCAGGACCCGCACACGCATCCCCGGCGACCCCGCCAAAGGACGACGAAATGCGGCACGGGCCTTGAGAGCCCCCCTCTCCCAACGGACACGCTGAAACGACTCCAGCCTGAGCAGTTTCTCAGGGTGGCGGGCTCAGGGTGAAATCCATCTGGGCGTTCGCGCCTCGAAAAACTCAATCCGTCTTGTGATGCACCTCTTGCAGATTCAAGCCTCGAACATCAATCGAAACGGCATTTCAGATGTCGCCCTTCGCCCTCCAATCCAAGAAGGTGCTCGGTGAGAGCCCCCCTCCAAACACACACACACACACACACACACACACACACACACACACACACACACACACGCACACACGCACACGCACACGCACACGCCGAAACGACTCCAGCGAGGGAGCCCCGCGTGAGCATCCGAGCGTGCGCCGACAGGAGGCAGGAGCGGCAGCAGGGGCGAGGGTGCGCGCAGAAATCCGAAGGCTGGCAAGAAAGCTGTCCGCTGCCCGCGTCGGCCGAAATCGCTCCCTCCTGTGAATACCCGCTGCGCGGCGCGGCACTGCCAGTAGGCGATGGCAGAATTACACTTCGGAGCGCCAGGAGCCAACACAGTCGCGACAAGTTCGCACGTGCGAGCAGCCGGAGACAAAAAGTGGCGACAGCTCTTCGCCCGGGAGCCGCAGGAGCCGAAGAGTAAGGATTTGTCCACGCTTGGGGGGCACAAGAAGCCACAAAGTGCGACGGCTCTACGCGTGGGAACACCAGGTCAGTGTACAACAATGTTGTCGTTGTTGTCGATGATGATGATGATGATGATGATGATGATGATGATGATGATGATGATGATGATGATGATGATGATGATGATGATAATGATGCTGCTGCTGCTGCTGCTGCTGCTGCTGATGATGATGATGATGATGATGATGATGCTGTCGATGTTGTCGTTGATGATGATGATGATGATGATGATGCTGATGATGATGATGATGGTGGTGATGATGACGACGATGTTTATGCTGCTGTGATTGGCAATAGTGATGGTGTTGATCGCGGATCCCCTGGCGAATCGTCCCGATTACAGCTCGAGGCGCACGCGGCACGATGCACGAATCGCGCTATGTCGCAGCACGTCTGGCGAACGCCCGTCCCTCAGTGGGTCGATGATCTCTCCCCCTCGGGGAGGAGGTCAAGTGTTCCTGCACCCGCGCCCGAGAGCTCCGATGACGCGTTCGCATGGCCGAAATATTGCCACAGAGCGTCCTGACAGGATTCTCCAGAACTCATCTAAGTAAGAAGCCCCTTGGCGAGGTCAGCAGGGCCCCGCTTGCGCGCGCGAGTCCGGGCCGAGGATGCACAAACACACCCCGACGAACACAAACAGCAAGAAAAGCCATGCCCATCTGGCGGGCGGCTCGGCGCCAGAGCCATCCCCCCTGACCCCTGAGGCCAAACCCCTCCGAACCGAGCCTCCCAAAACACTTCCGCGACACTTCGTTCAAAGCACGCCAGAACACTCCCACGGGGTAGCCTTTCCCCGCCGGAACTGCCAGTGGAGCTTGGGCTCAGTCTGTGGGGCTTGCATGGGAGACATCTTCTAGCATTGAACTGAACCTGGCGCGGGTCGCCCCGACGAAGACACCGTTGTGGGAGGCAGCCTGGCCCTACTCCGAACAGGGAAAAGCGCGATCAGTTCGGGCCAGGCCTAGAAACCAAGGCGAGTTACGTACACAAGAAGCCCCATGGTAGAAAGCTTGACAAATAGCTCAAGCGCCCAGGTCCCGACGCCCTACTTCACCACCAGGGAAAGGGAAACATCAGCACTCGATTCAAAACGTGGTCCTTCAGGATGTTCACAACCTCGTGGGCACCGACAACCCCGTGCAGCACGGCCTCGAGCCGGACCAGGTTTCGAAAGCGTCCGTAAGGACGCTTTCGAAACCATCGCCCTCGAAATACTGTCTCTGGCCTGCATCCGGGAAGCCACAAATATCAGCCCCCGTGCCCTCGGCACGTAGTGGAGTGACCCGAGGCTCACGCAGCACAGCAAGGTAAAAGGGCTTGTGGTTCGTACAGAGGAGGCTTGACCGCAAGAAATCTTCCACAAAAGACCCAACCCTGAGACCCCAGGACGTGCTTTGATTTCTTGTGTGGGACCGTTACGCTCTCCATCGCAAAACCATCGAAACCCGAAGAAACCCAGGGCACCCTGGAGACAAGCAGGGTGCTTCTTGGCATGGGCCTCCACTGCAGGGGTTCTTCCGGGCCCGAGCCCCTGGTTTCCCAGGCAGTCCCGGGCGGGCCGGAGCGCCACCCGAGCGCGTCGCACGATCACTGGGGACATCCAAGAGAGTCCTGGGACGGGCCACGAGGACCCGAAGACGCCCCAAAGACGGCCGAAGAGGGTCCCGAGTCGTCGAGCGATCAGTCCAGGACGCACGAGGTGGCCGCCAGACGGCCGAAAATGCCCCCAAGACGCCCCAAGAGGCCTCTAAGAGGCCTCCCGAGAAAACAACATTGATTCCCTCAGGTAGGTGTTCGACAGATTTGGGCGTTCTTGCGTTCTCGCCTTTTCGGCTTCCCGACGCTCCAGGACGGCCCAAGAGGCCCCAAAGATCGCCCCAAGACGGCCAAAGAGGCCCCAAATAACTTCCCCAAACGGGCCAAGATGGCCACAAAACGGCCCGAAAGTCGACCAAGTGGCACCAGAGGTCCCCGAGACGGCTCCAAAAGGGCCCCGACATGAAACCGAATGAACAGTTCGAGCTTTTGGCCCCGGGACGCCCACACGAGGCCCCAAAACGCCGCCACGAGTTCCCGAAAGGCCTCAATGAGGCCCACAGAAAACCCTAACAGGCCCTCAAGAGGTTCCCAGGAGGCCCCCCAGAGGCTCCGAAGAAGCCCCAAAATTGCCCCCCCCCCCTCCCAAAAGAGGCCGCCGAGAGCGCTCCCAAGAGACCCCAAGAAGCATCCCTGAGGACTCTGACCCACAACCCAGGCAAGGTGCTCGAAGATTCTTTGCGTCGCCGACTCGCGGGCGTCGCCGAGCTGGGTCAGCTGGTGCTGAAAATTGTGGGCAAACTTGGTCCAATCCATGGCGCCAACATGCTGTCCAAACAACATACCTGGGCGCTCGAAATATGATTCTATGCGCACGAATCCTCACTCGATCCGGGATCAACTCAACCAATACCAGGTTGAAGCGCGAGTCGGAAGGAGACAGGATGCACGTCATAAGTACTTCGGCAAGGCCAGACGCACGTTTCACCAGGATATAAACACCATGAATGTGGATCAGAGCAAGGATTCCCTACAAGAAGATGCCAACATCGCCCGCGCACATTTGGAAAATACCCTTTTTTGACAACGGCCGCACGAAGCCCAAGTACAAGGGGGCAAGTACCGAGGACAAAAAAGTTTGAGCCAGACGGATCCCCTTACAATACCCCAGTGTACACAAACACCCATCAATGGAAAGAACAGCAATTCCGAAGTCGCGCACGGAGTGGA